GCTGTAAACTGTATGCGCTGTAAAACTGTCTTGGCAAATCATCTCATGTTCTGTTAAAAACCTCTTCAAAAAACCTCTATAATTACTGTAAATCCAGAGTGTAAACATGAAAATAAGGAGTTTATTATGAGATAAGTTAGCTTCTACTTCTTTTACTATGAATTATGAAGACTTAAATGCTATAAAACAAATGGATATATACGGCATGTCTTGTCTTAGACAAGAATATTGAATAATTTGTTCTGATGCAGGCTCAAGAGTGGATCTAGAAAGTTATGCATGGGGTGGCCAGGCATTACACCCCGAGTCTGTGTGAGGCTGCCTCACACAGACTTAGAGAAGGGTGACACATTTGAAATATAAAAAAGTAAATTAAAAAGTCAATTTAAACCCCCAGTTCTATGAAATAATAAACCATACATTATCAAGAATCAAATTGTTTATTCTGTGTAAAAATGACACACAGTGTTTTTTTAAGTTAACTTTGGCTGTGCTCCTGGGGTGAATTATACAAAGTACAAAACATCCCTGCTGTGCAAAAAGAGAAACATTTAGAAAACCCACTGCCTATTTTACTAAGTTTGACTCTTTCACCCTTCATTTAGGCAGTTTATTTGCTTCTCATTTATATAAATATTAGTTAGCCATCATAGAAATACATGTCTTATTACATTTTGACTGAATGCCTATATTTTGTCATGAGTCTCTTCTGCTTCCAGTAACACGCTTCTCTTCTGACACAACTTCCGGTCTACAGTCTCACCTCAGCTATGGACTTTTTACACTAATCAGTAGTAATGATCTGCACCTGTTGACACCCCTTTATAAGCAACTTCCTCCCGGCAGGAAGCTGCCAGATTGTTCTAATTCATATTCAAACTTTCCAGCATTACTTCTTGTACCTGCTATTCCAGCTGTGACCCCAGATTGGCTTGTGACCACCGATTACTGCCTAACCCTTCTGATTGTGATTATATTCTGTGCATCAATTGATGGACTTCCCTTACTGACCAATCTTCTTGTGGATACCTTGGATGTGCGAGTTTGCTGGCTCTGACCCTGGACTGGAATTATCGACCTGAGATTGATACATGTTTAATCAGACTTCTGCATTGTGTACAGCTGTTTGTGACCAGTGCTCTTATTAAAGAGACAGTGTTCTGCTTATCCTCATATGTCCTTATAATTGAGTTCATCATGGTCATGTTTTACCATACACTGGTGTATATACTGTACAAATACTTTCCCATTTATAAATTCATATAAAGGATGTACAATATGAATAGAAAGTAACTTATTACACATCTTTGCAACACCAAATTATGCATTTTTTTGTACTTTTACATACCATTGCACTATTTGTTTCCTTATATCTATATATGTACAATCTTTGGACTTGTTGTAGGTATTCTGTATAAGTATATATATAAGCACTACTGAAAACTGAGGTCAGATTCTGTAAATGTTTACACATTTATGTTGAATGTAATGCATGGACTGTACCCTCTCATCGTCCTAGAATTCAAGCAACTGAAAAACAAAAAAAGAAATGGGGCCCTCTACTGCACAGGAAATAAAGTGTGCAGTGCCTCAGTGAGATTTGAAAACATGTGTACGTCAGAACACACTTACACATATTGTGTCCATGTGGCTGTCACCAGATATGATATTGATGTGAGGCTACTTAAATAACTGATTTGATACATATGTGAACAGGAAGGATCTGGTTTCGAGCCCCGGCCAACAAGATGCCTTTCTGTGCGGAGTTTGCATGTTCTTCCAGTGCCTGCGTGGGTTCTATCTAGGTACTTCGGCTTCCTCCCACAGTCCTAAGACATGCAGCTTAGGTTAACTGGTGACTCTAAATCCCCTGTAGGAGTGAGTGTAGGTGTATGTGGTTGTCTGTCTCTGTGTCAGCCCTGTGATAGACTGGCGATCTGTCCGCAGTGTATCCCGCCTCTCACCCAGTGTCAGCTGTTTCAGCAAGTAGCTGAAGTTATCAAATAAATTTAGTGGAGTAAAATGTACAACATTTCCCTTTGAACGGTACTGGAGCAGAAGTATAAATAGTAATAAGTATATTGAGCTGTAAAAAAAAGAAAATAAAAATGTAGAAGCAGGCCTGCAAAACTGTACTTTCCACTAGTGATAAGTCATCCTGTATTTAACAATGGCATGGATCATAAGTGATATTTTCAATGTGGGATCTTTTTATCAATTTTTACATATGAACAGTATTTTAACACTGTGGAAAGACTATTTTAAACCAAGGGAGACATCGGATACCAGCAGTGCCTTAAACACAGAAGTAAATATAGCTGTCCATCCATCCATCCATCCATCCATCCATCCATCCATTTTCCTCCGCAAATATAGCTGTCATGAATTGTAAATAATATGATAGATATAAGAATTGCCAGGATCAGAAAACAGTCACCCTGGCAAACTTGCCATTGTTTCAGAGCGAGCTTGAGATGACAGACCAGTGTCAATCAGTCTCTGCTCTGATCTGAGAGAACACCTATCAGACACTCATCACCACACAGACAGGGTGGACAGAAGCTTCCACTGTTAATTCAGATCCCTTCCCTCCCCATTCTCATGCATTTTTTGCAATTCTCAGTCATCCTGTCATTTTCTGCCAGCCTGTGCATCTCTCTGTGTCTCTGCACTTGTCTTCATCTCGGTTGCTCCATTAGGCCCTGGAGCAACTTCCACTTTAATTTTGTCCGGCAACCATCTAAGTGAGTTTCAGCCGTGTCTGCCAGTGGGTGTGCCGGGCATACATGATGGGTGTGATGCACGTCAGTTTCCATGGTGACAGGCCGCATGCTCTACATAATGATATCCACTCATATTCAGAGTGGTGACAGAGCTGTGGCAGTGGTCTGCTGGGGGATGGGCATCTGATTCCCAGGACTCCTGAAGTACTTTCTGAGACTTGCATTTAATGTTAAATGTGCTAGACTGTACTGTGGGATCAGGCTCTTTCTTTCCAAATGAACATATTTCAAATATCATCTTTCTCCAAAGTTGTGTAATTACTTATGTAGTCAGAATTATTGCCTATATATGGCGCTTTATGGAGTTCAGACACCTCATTAAAGGTAACTAGGATAAGCTACAGTTAGGATGTGGATGCCAGGGATTTATCTAGCCACTAAGTACAAGACAAACTCAACTGATTCTATGTGAAGATTGTACCTTTTTATGATGAGTCAACAAATTCCTTTCAGTTAGTATGCTGACATTATCCACTGCCTCAAAGCATATTTTAAAAAAAAAGGATAACATTAATAAGCTCATGGAGGAGTGAGAGAGAGTCCCAGTCATCCACTCAGCAGTGATAGTAAATGAACCAAAAAATATGGCTCCAGCCTCACGGATGATGGGTGAGTCTGAGCTCCCGTCATGGAGCAATGAAGCATGAGGTATCTATAGCATCAGGGGGTGGTGGTGCATTAAAGACTTTGTCCCCTGTCATACTTGGTGCACTATTTACCATTCTATGCAATATGAAATAGAAAAGAGAGCATAATGAAGCAATGGATTACAAATGACCTCTTTTACATTTTACCTGCATCTTGTGTCCTAAGAAATGACAGCTAGACTAATCAGTGAGAAAGCTTTTAGCTACAGTATGACTTGAATCACTAAACTGAATCTTATTAAATATGCAGTATATTATTCTATTACCCTGTGTCAATTGTTGCAGTATTGTTAATGTTATCCTGTCACAAAGTATTCTTCTTCCAGGGCTATCATCTTTCTTAACTGTTCTGATTGGTTCTATAGGTGCTGCTCTGTGCATTCCTCATCTCACAGCATTTGCTTTGAGTTGACAGTCATCTGTAATGAGCAGTACCAGAGGCAGAGTCTGTGTTTGTGTGTGAGAAAGAAACATGTAAAAAAAACAAAAAAAAACAACAACCCATAAAACAAAGAAACCAAATCGAGGTCCAGAAATGGCTGCCATGAGCCAAAGGTGCCTTCTAATTCTATTACAACCTGCTGTTGCCATAGTAGCAACCCACAAGAACATTTCTTCCCCCTTATATGTGATCAAGAAGCAATCACACAATGCCAGCTGGTGCAATGTCTGTAAAATCTCTGTTAGTGTAATAACAGCTGTCAGTTACCCACATAGCCATCAGACCAGAGAATAAAACAGCATCTTGTCTGTGCTCAAGCATTTACCATCAAAAGCACTTATCCTTCCACTGTCAAGAGTCATTTATAGATTCAGAGTTAAGTAAACATGTCGTTTCCTACTTGTGGTCATTTTCACAAAAGAACCAGGAGTGCTTGTTCCTGTTCACTTTGTATGTTTAATGGTCATGTTCAGTAAAGACATGAAAGGCCATGGCTGTTTGTGTTTTATCAGCCTAGATATATGTGACTTTGGTGAAGATCAAATCACATTTCATGACCAATTTATGCATACAATCAGTAAATTGCAAACTGTACCTTTACTTTTTCTTGCAACTGTAGATGATAAAGTATGGGATACTTATAGGCACATATACTGTACTGTTTGTTCCAATGTATCTATGCAGTGACAGCTTGACAAGATGTGTCTAAGCAGCTTGACATGCATTACCATACCCAGCACCTCAGCACTGAGCTGTCACTCTCAGCTGGACAGGAGTTGAGCTGAAGCTCCATCCTGTGAGACTCAGAGGAGGAAAAGGTCAACCTTTCCTTACATTATCCTGTTTTACACTTTCACCTCTCCTATTCTCTCATTTCCTTCCCTTTCCTCCTGCTTTCAGACTGATTAATCTTGGCATGCCTTTAAATTAACAATGCCATCTATAATTCACAGACAAAGCCAGCCTCATCTTTTTTTTAAGGATAATCACCTTTATTTGGCCAAGTATGTTACACACAAGGAATTTGTTTCCAGTACAAAACCGAGGCAGCCATTTGCGGCGCCAACTCACACCGATGGCTCTAACTATTGGGGGCGACTTGGGGGTTCAGTGTCTTGCCCTAGGACACTTCAACATGTGGACTGCAGGCACCATGATTCGAACCTTCAACCTTGTACTGGGTTTGTATAATCTTGTACAGATTAAAAATGAAGTTTTAGCCACAAAGTCGAATAATTACCATGCATTACCATAGATTAGCCCAGGAGAGGCCAGTGGCTATCCATTTCATCTTCCTCTTGCCCAGGAATTTTTTGAGGCTCACTGCCTCTACTATTCACCAGTTGTAGAGAAGCCCTTGTGATTTTCTTTCACTACTATGTCGCTAGATTGAATACAGAGGAAAGGCACAACAAATGGCATAAACAATGTGAAGGTTGTTTGAAGATCATCTGCAGCTGACTCCATTTTCAGCTCTATCTCCTCTGCTGAGGGGGTACCAGAAAGGTCCATGGCAAATTTGAAGTGAGATGAATAGATATTATCAAACCAAGCTGTCTATCTAGTGGGGAAGGGGCTGATTTAACCTGTAAGGGGGCATAAAGATGGATTTCTAAATGCATTTGACATCACCTCTCCCTGACAGGGATTGGCTGTGCAACCATAAATGTCTGAGAGTAACACATTCTGGATTGTTATGATTATTTATTTATTCATACTATTGTGAGAACCTCAGCCATACTAGCAGCATGGTCCTAGACACAGCAATGTCAATCCACCACTTTGGTGCAGAATAAAATATATGGTGGCTTTTTGTACAAACATTCATAGTTTCTAGAGAATTAGGAACTGCTGACTTTGGTGATCCCTTGATTTTTTTTTCTCTCACCATAATGAACATTTTTATGTTTATTAATGTCTTTGTCAACTAGATTCTGCCATGACATTTGGTTCAGCTGCCCAGAGAATGAATCCTAATGACTCTGGCAAGTTTTCACTATTGGTGCATTTTCTAGATTGAGTTGAGCAACATTTTGTACAAACATTCATATTCCCTTTAGGAGGAATTGTAACAACTGTGGTGATCCCAATCCCTAAACCTTTCATCTAGTGCCATAATCACGTTCATTTCTTTGGGTTATGATATAATATCTGCAAAGCTAGTGACATTCCATCAGCCTCAACTGTGATGTGTTTATTGCTAATTACCAAGCATTTGCATGCTAACCAGGGCTGTCAGCGTTAACGTGATAATAATGTGTTAATGCATTTTCCTTTTAATGCCACTAAATTCTTTATGACATTTGTTTAGACAAGACCATCTAAACAATAAAGTGTATGGCTTTTTTCTACAGTGACTGGTAATGTCTGCCAGTGGACTGGCTTCACCAAAGGTAATGCCAGGTGATTCATGTGGAGAAAAGATGGAGCTGAAACGCCTTCTCACATCATCAAGCAGTGTTCAAAGGCAAAAGTCTGCATTTAGCCACAAGTGTTTCAAGTGCAATATTCTTCACTTGACGCTTTCAGTGCTGATGAACTGGTTCAGTGGACACAAATCCCTCTTTTATCAACAGAAAAAACCAATAGGCATTAATACAGACATTTTAATAGTAGGTGTCTTTACAAAAGGAGCATTGTGGATGTGGTGTACAACATGCCTGAATATTTCTACATCAACTACTTAATAAAAATAACAGGTTTAAAACTCTTGTTTTAACATTGTACAAGTACACTAACAGAAATTAAGCTGGTGTGTGTAGCTCTTCTTATTTAGTACATTTGAAACTGTAAGCTAGTATTGGTTTGTTGTGTGTGTGTGTATAAACATATAATCAGTTATGGTGTTTACAAGTCAGGCTTGTTTGTCCTTTAACCTAAAGCATATTAATATTACCCTCTCAGGGGAAAGAGCAAATAAATAAGTTAACTAAAAAAAAAGTTCTCTCTTTGGATTTCTCATTAAGCTTCTGTCTAAACATAGACATTAGTCAGTCTATCGGGTAAAGAACAACTAGTTAACATATAAAACAACTTATTGACTTTGACATCACATTTGGAAAAATTAAAATAGCCTTAAACTAAATGCAGTGCTTTGCATTTTCTGCTTTCTTTGAAAACAATTGATTGCATCTATGGCTGCAGGTTAACGTATGTGTCTCAAAGTTAAGTTATTAGTTAGTTAATTAGTTGCCATGGAGACTGCTTTCTCTGATAGATGCACAGTAACAGAAAAGTAATTTATTGAACAGTGAATTTATAAAGGACAAACTTTAATTTCAAAATGAGGCATCACTTTCCTACTCACATTAGAATAGATTTCTTCACTAAAGATCTGGTCAAGGTTACATTACTTCCAGAAACAACACACAGAAACATCTGCACTAATTTACTTGTATTGTAATATCAGGAATGTTCACCTTCTGTTTCTGACAGTATTAAGCCTAAGTGATAGAAAATTATTTTCAGACTGTGCTTACTGAGAAAATAAAAGCTACTGAAAAAAATCATTAGGTCAATAAGTAGAGAAAGCTGCATGTGTTTGATTTAATTTGTGCTTCTAATTTGGTTTTGTTAACATCTGTCATTTCTATAGCGGAACACAACATGAAAACACAATTAGATTTTCCCATAATCTCTGCTGGATATTACTGTAAGTGAGAGGAACTGTCTTTGTTTTAGTCATCATTATTTGAGTTAACATTTCAGAAAACAGCATGTACTGGACCAAAGGGAGTTGAATGACAGTCTGTGTACTGTTCTCTTGTCAGTAATACTGTGTAGAAACACTATACACAGTGCACCGATGATCAGTGTCCATATTGTTCATCCACACACAGATTGGCCTTTCACGCTGCCTAGCATGAAAATAATCTTAGTACTTTCTAAATGTTTTAACATTCACCATCTTTGTTCGGCCACATAAACTTCACTGACCCAAATTGGTTAGTAGTTATCTGGTGGATGTTTAAGGCCTGGATCAACCTAAATCTTAAAACCCACCTAATCTCCATTCTCCTCTCTGCATTACAAGTGAATGTGTTGAGGAGAAATACAAAAACAAATTTAAGCTAAAAAAAAAATGTTTCTTTGATTCTTGGTTGAGAGTGCAGGTCTATTTTCTCAGTTTTTAACTAAAGAGCTGTTGTACCCAAAAGCTTCACCTCAAACCTTAAGTTGTAGCATCAAAAATCAGTTGGTACTGACAAATGCAGCCAAGTCCCAGTCTTTCCCACTGATGAATAAAGGTTTCGGTCTATAAGTCATTGTCTAGTGTCACATCTCCACACTCTCAAGAGCCCAAACTGATCCAAAGCTAAAGGAGAGAGAATAAAAGGTGGTAGAGAGTATGTGTCTGTCTACAAAGTGTGGCCTCGCTCAAAGGTCCAGAAATCCAGAAAAAGCAGAATGTGTTTGTCTATGTAAGCATATGTTCATCAGAAAGTGCAGGCATAGACAACACCCACAACCACAATGTTTCCAATGGTGGCAATGATGGCAATCCAAAGCCAGATGGCATCACTGGACATGGACTGTGAGTCATCCTGTTGGCCGTGTACTGATGCAGCTGAGGCGGCAGCATGGACGCTGGCTGAGGAGTTGAACAGCGAGTGGTCTCCGCTGTAGTCGTCATTGGGCGAGGAGTCCATGAAGGCTCCTGTCATAACTGGGATCTATCAGGGAAGGGTGAGGTAAATGGAGAATAGTTAAAATACATTTTCATTTATTACTTGTAGACAAGTTGTGTAAAGAACAGGACACATTTCACATCAGGTTTTGCGTTTCCAGTCATTGGATACCAGGGCTGTAGCCACAGTTGAGGACGCTGATATCATAGAAACCTAAGAGGGTTATATTCTACAGCTGAAATCTTATGATTGGTGGGTTTTTTACTTAGTCCAATGTTTTTAGACCATATTAAATTTTTGGCCCACAAAAAATAAAAGATTCAGTATTTATTCATCTCTTTTTTTTTCTGTCAGCATAGAGATGATTTGATTAATAATGTTTCCTGGAAAGAACTTTTCAGTTTCAAGTATACATGCAGCACTTGAGGAATGTCCTTGAAAGAGCTGCTCAGTTTACAAACCCCATTTCCAATGAAGTTGGGATATTGTGTAAAAACGTAAATAAAAACAGAATACAATGACTTGCAAATCCTTTTTGACCCATATTTAATTGAACACACCACAAAGACAAGATATTTAATGTTCAAACTGATAAACTTTGTTTTTTGCAAACATTCACTGAATTTGATGCCTGCAACACGTCCCAAAACAGCTGGGATAGGGGTATTTTTTACCACTGTGTTACATCACCTTTCCTTTTAACAACACTGAGGACTATTTGTTGAAGCTTTGTAGGTGGAATTCTTTCCCATTCTTGCTTGATGTACGACTTCAGTTGCTCCACAGTCTGCATTGTTGTATTTTGCGCTTCATAATGCACCACACATTTTCAATGGGAGACGGGTCTGGACTGCAGGCAGGCCCGTCTATAGGACCCACACTCTTGTACTACAAAGCCACACTGTAGCACATGCAGAATGTGGCTTGGCATTGTCTTGCTGAAATAAGCAGGGTTGTCCCTGAAAAAGATGTCACTTGGATGGCAGCATATTTTGCTCCAAAACCTGTATGTACTTTTTAGTGTTAATGGTGCCTTCACAGATGTGTAGGTTACCCATGGGCACTAACACACCACAATACCATCACAGACACTGGCTTTTGAACTTTGCGCTGATAACAATCTGGATGGTCCTTTGCCTCTTTAGCCCGGAGGACACGACATCCATGATTTCCAAAAACAATTTGAAATGTGGACTCGTCCGACCACAGCACACTTTGCCACTTTACATCAGTCCATCTCAGATGAGCTCGGGCCCAGAGAAGCCAGTGGCTTTTCTGGTTGCTGCTGATGTATGGCTTTTGCTTTGCATTTTAACTTTCACTTGTAGATGTCGCAACGAATTGTGTTAACTGACAATGGTTTTCCAAAGTGTTCCTGAGCCCACGTGGTAATGTCCTTTACAGAATGATGTCTGTTTTTAACGTAGTGCCGTCTGATGGATCGAAAGTCACGGGCAATTAGTGTTGGTTTACAGCCTTGCCGCTTACATGCACAAATTTCTCCAGATTCTCTGAATCTTTTGATGACATTATGGACTGTAGATGATGAAATACCTAAATTCTTTGCAACTGTACATTGAGAAACATTGTTCCTAAACTGTTGTACTATTGCCTCACACAGTTGTTCACAAAGTGGTGAACCACGCCCCAGCCTAGCTTGTGAAAGACTGAGCCTTTTGGGATGCTCCTTTTATACCTAATCATGACACTCACCTGTTTCCAATAAACTTGTTCACCTGTGGAATGTTCCAAACAGGTGTTTTTTGAGCATTCCTCAACTTTCCCAGTCTTTTGTTGCCTCAGCACTTTTGGAACATGTTGCAGGCAGCAAATTCAAAATGAGTGAATATTTGCAAAAAACAAAGTTTATCAGTTTGAACATTAAATAGCTTGTCTTTGTGGTGTGTTCAATTAAATATGGGTCAAAAAGGATTTGCAGGTCATTGTACTCTGTTTTTATTTATGATTTACACAGTATCCCAACTTCATTGGAATTGGGTTTGTACATAAAGCTTCCAGAAAGAACTAACAAAAATAAAAAGACAAAAAGATTAGAGAATTTCTTTTTTGGCATCTGAGGGAGGGGCCTTCGAATTAGGACATTTCAGTTCCCCTCAGGATGAAGTGTGATAGTTTTGGAGATCCCCTGACTTTCAGTTTCAATGTCCTTTGGTTGTTGGCAAAACTAATGACATTTAACCTCAGTTGTACTTTGTGTTTACTGCTACTTAGCAAATGCTAACATGCTAATATTCTAAACTGTGGTGTTGAACATGGAAATTATTACACGTACTAAACACTTAGTCTTGTCTTTCAAATTAGAATAGGCTGCTAATGTACTTGATAAAAATGAACCTCTAAGAACGATCTTGCATTTTCTCCATGTATTATAGTAAATTAGTTTTAGTCTCTGTATGGGGAATGTTAGAAAATGCTATTAATATAGAAAATGGCGGGCCTTATCCTTTAATGTTTCCAGTTTCAACTCTTGGATTATACTACATTTCTGAAGTTTGGATTTGACATCTTAAATAATGAGTGACATGACAGAGATGATGGCAAACAGGAAGAGGTAGAAAATAACTTCCTTCCATTAATGAGAGGAATCTCCTCGTATACTGTATTTCACACCTTGTTGGTGGTGAGTGGTGCCTACACCTGTTCAACAACCCACAAAACAAAACCCCAATCTATTGCAGCTGATATGGTGAAGATCCCTTAACTATACAATCTGCTCTCACAGCTTTGATTTATTTATCCAAGCTGTTCTTAGAGCTGTGCCATCCTACACAGATGATCACAGTAATTGTGAAATAAAGCCCACCATAATTGCCTCCTGTGGGATGTTGCCACAGTAAAACAGCTTCGGAACAAACAACCACAACCCAAATAAATGTTGGATAGCAGAGAAAGCAAAACATATTGTCGAAGAGAGCAGAGAACTGGACAGCAGTGATTGCTGTAGACAGCAGTATGAGCCTAATGTATGATTTTACCAAAGTGGAGCACTGTTGTATGTGTGTACTGTCAACAGGAAGTCAGCAGACACACCCCTAATCAAAAAAGTCAGACCTTCCAGTTGTAAACCAAAACTACATCACTTCAAATTTTTTTAGATGAATAAAGATTTACATTTTTGTTTTTACAAGGGGCTACTATACATGCATTTCAAAAAATAAAAATATAAAATGGTATTAGAGTGTTGAAAATAATCTCTGATGTGTAGCGACTAACACAAAAATGTAGCCAATCCTTCTATACAATAGCTGCCACTTAGTGAAAACAATAGGTTTGGCCTGTGCTATACTGTAGCATATTGACCTGGTCATGCCATAAATCAGAAGACAGTATTACAGAGGTTTTAAAGAGGCTTGTTCACCCGTACTAATGTGGTCAAGCCCGCTAGTTTGAGCCCTGATTCTTGCTAGCCAGATTTACAGCTGTGCTTTTATTGATTCTCTCTCTCAGCAGCCCAGCAGCATCTTTTAATAAATCTCAATAAAACAAGTGTATCCCAGGTGAGCCTAACTTAACCTCATGGCCAATCTGTCAGCACAGTAGAAAGTTTATTGTACTTCTTTAATGTTACAGTGATACATTTTTTCAGTGGTGCAGCTTTAAATGTTCTTTTGTCCCAGTGTCTGACTCCTAACATATGTCAGTGTACTGTATGTCTGAGCCTGTAGTACTTTGGTTTGTGAATTCCTAAGCTGCAAAGACTCGGTTCACGCAGGAACAAAGGGAAAAAAAATCCTAAAATTAAATACGACAACTGACAGCAGCATCTAAAATACAACACAGACAGGGTGAGGAATAAATGGAGCCAGAAAGTTAAGACTTTTCATTTGATCTACTGGCTGCACCTCTCTTTGCTCCAAAAAAGGGATTTAAGAAGCTCAGTTTTTGTTTTTTTTATGATTATAGTGCCGAATATTTCCCAAAAGGCTTAAACACATTTTTATTTCACTAAGCTGCAACAAAAGTCCAAACTTGTCTTGTTCAGCTCATTTTTGCCCTGGGTCTTGAATTTTATTTGAAATCTCAAGTGTCCAACAAAAAAATGCTTTAAAAAGTTTCATTTTACCATATTTGACCTAATTAATTGGTCAATCATGTGCTTGATACCCCCCAACAACAATTGCTTTTTCAAAAAAGTCAAGGTTATTTATTCCTAGCAGCAGATATGTTAAATATGTACAAATTAAATTATGTGCAGCATGTTTTATGGTACACTTTAAACATCCCTCTATAAACAATCATTCTTATGTAAACTGATGTTATTCTAATGTTTTCTGTATGTTGCTTTGAACAAAAGTATCTGCTAAATATTGTAACTTAAACATAAACATCTTATATTAAACACCCATGTCATTCATCAACTATTTTTTTTTTTTGCTTAGTGATGCCATTTTGACAAAAACATATATTAAATTGATTAGGTAATTGACAGCTGAACTGGAACAACTAACTGAGGGTGGAGCTAGTGTTCATCAGAAACATTCAGTCCACCTGTGCTGACTACCCACTATACTATATGAGCATGTGGCAGAAAGTCTGTTTCTGTTTGTCTCTCCTGCTGTCCACCTTTTGTTTTGTTATATTTGGCTTGTTTGCTGTATTTATTTCTTTTGTCTCTCAATTAAGTAAAGCCCATGTATTTTAAGTTGCAACCAAGTCTTTTTTTCACTCTCTCTCTTGAACAGTGCTGTGACAAAATGTTTTAGATTTTGCAAGCTGGACCAACACAAACAGATACTCAAAGTCACAAAAATGAATAACAGAACAATTCAAATAACTTGAGATGTTTCTGGTTATCTTAACTCATTTCCCTTGTGTTTTCACCCTTTTACAGAATTAGCACAATGACACACCACCTTATATGTGTATCTGTTATTGCATATTCAATGAAAAAAGTTCAAGCTCGGAGATGGAAGCCCTAAAGTGAATTAAAGTCTGTGTAAGACTTGGTTCAGGGTGAGATGCAGCAGCGATGGCCCTTCTTTGCACCCACTCCTTAATACAGCAGCACCCTGAATCACTTTGAT